CAGGCCCGGCAGGCTTGGCTGCCGAGGGAGGGGGGTTCTCGCACCTGGTGTAGGAGGGCGGTCGCGAAACCTTAAGATTAACCACCCGCAGGCTGTCTCCTTGAGGCAGCGCACCGTAATTAGCTGCTGTGGAGCCCGAGATGCGCAGGTCTTCGTGTGCCCCTCGGTAGCGTTATGGAGGTGAGGCAGCCGTGCCTGCCAGGCTGTGGTTATGAACGTCTCAGAGGGGTTATTGACGCAGAGAACTACAGAGGACTGCAGCCTTTTCTGCTCTTCAGAAAAGCCTGGAACTGGTCATCCTGCAGGCTGCACAAATCTGTTCCTGTGATGAGGTGGGACTGGTAGCACTCAGTGATGCTGGTGCACCACAGTGTGCTAGGAGCTAAGTGAAATCTGTTAGCTTATGAAAACACGCAGCTGTTATCTCCAAGACATAAACTAAACTAACTGGTATTCAGTATAAGCCTTTTTTTTTTTTTTAATCGAAATATTGAACACTAACAGGGGCTATTGCTTTTCAAATAAGGGATTAACTGCAATGTAGAATACAGACTCACTAAAGATGCTGTTTATCTGCTTTGCGTGCTTAGAAATTATGCATAGCTTGGAACAATGTTTTCCTAATAGATACAGAAACGTTGCAGCTGCCATCTACTCTCAATGTTGCAAATTTTCATTCCTTTCGGAAAATTGTGCTTATGTTACTGCTCTGTGTTTATCTGAGGGTGTGCATCCTTTCTTTAGCAGGGTCAGAGCTGCATGAGGCTTTTCCTCAGCTGTAATGGCTACAGCAGTGCAACCTGAGCACTGCTTGATTGAGAATCAGGGCATTGACTTTGAGTGACTTGAGAGCGTATAACCTACTCTTGACTGCTGTTAGTGCAGAATGCTTTCTGGAAGAGTAATTACCTGCAGTATCTCAGTTGATTTTTACCTTAAACTACACAGAAATGTGGAGGTGCTTTTAGAGTTTAGTTGACTATAGTGGATGGTCTTTATTTCATTTTGTTAGCTCTGTGAAGGGCTTTCTAAAGGTGGCTGGTGGAAATGTTACAAGGAGAAATGTAAGGAAGGCTTTTAATCATTAATTGACATGCGGAGAAAAGGAGATATTAAAAAGTGCAAAGTCTCTGTGGAATTAAGCCTTTTCATTGTTGTTTTTAATTGAATCTAAACTTGCTGAAATGAAGGTTGCTTTACTGTGCACTCATGGACTTTCTGTGATTATACTTTTGTTTGATACTACTTCTGCTCTTTGTCCCATAGAAAATTATTTACTACCGGTCTCCTGCTCATTAAATTCTTTGACTCAGTTTGGCCATTTGCATTCTGCCTCTATGTGGACCACACAGAATAGAAAAACTGCTTACAAAATGATCAACTCAAAGTAAGATTTAATTAATTAGGTGCAAATGAGCTTTATTCGTCCATTCTTTACTTACTGCCCTTCTCTGTTTGGGAAAACAAGCAGTTCATCAGAGATTTAAAACTGGGCATTATCTTCTTAAACATAGCTTACAGTAGGACAAATTGGAGGTATACAAGATAAGGCATTGTTAATGTAAGTGAAGTTCGACTTTTTACCTCTTGGCAAAGGCCACAGTTCCTCTTGGCAGAATTAAAAAGCAGTACAGTTGCATAGAAGATTCATTTCATTGATTCTGAAACAGCTGGAAGCATCTAGGAAATACATACATTGAAGAATCAAAGGCATGTGGTTGTAAGTATGTACTCCTTGTGGCATAATTTACCCATCACATTTAACAGCAAAACATCTGGTGGTTACTGGTTAAGTCAGAGATGCCCTTTGGTTAGCAGTGGCAGGGTGCATGCTTGATATGGGCATCTGCAGGTTGTGGTAGTTGCAGTAGCAAGTCCTGGTTTTGTGGTTGGCCATCCATACAGAGAGGCATAGCTTCCTTTTCTCTTTCTTTGCTTTCTCATCTATTTCTCTTATCTATTGGAAGTTCCTAATTTGAGGTTTATTTGAGGTAGCTAGGTGCTGCCTGCCATTTCCGATTGATAGTAATTTTGGTACCTGCATAAAGTTAGTTGGGAGTCCAGTACTTACTACAGGTAGTTGTTCCTATATCAGAAGTGATGCCTTTCCCATAATTTGAGAATGTCTGAAGTAGAGCCAGCCTTAATACATAATTTTGAAATAATCTTCTTCTGAAATACTTGGTGCTGTTGTGAACAGAAATGTAATACAGCTTCAATCACATAACTTCAGGTTCTTCGAAATTGCCTTGCTATCTTTGGCCAAGGCAATGTTCATACATAACTGGAAGACGATTAGCAACTGTTTGCAATTTGTTTTATTAAACAGGGTGTTAATAAAAAAGTGAAATAAGTACAAATCCACTTTTTATAGGCATGCATGCCATCAGCTCTGTTAGTTGTTATGCATATGTGGAAATAATAAATCATGAACCTAACTGCATATTAACTTGTTGAGAAGACTGTAGCTTTTAAATCGTACTTAACACAGAATAATGATTATTTTTTTTTCATACTAGCAGGTCTTGGTAAGTAGGTGTTTTGTGTTTAGAGAACTTTGAATAATATATAGCTTAAGAAAAACCAACATTACTGCTTATGTTTGGGGTATCTGATAGTCTGCTTAAGTATATATTTAGCAGGGCGTGTTGATTTACTTAAACTCTTGCCTTTCTCTGAAGCAAATTACGTTTTAACTGTTCATTCTTCCTCCAGTGCCTTGCGTTCCATGATATTTCACCCCAAGCTCCAACACATTTCCTAGTGATTCCTAAGAAGCCAATTGTCAGGTTGTCTGAAGCAGAAGATTCTGATGAATCTGTAAGTACTCTAGAAGCTTTCTGTACACCAAACTGTACCTCTAATTACTTCATAATTTACCAGACTCTCCCTCTTTTCCTCTTGACATTTCAAAGAGGCAAAGTAGTTTTCTGATACTATAATCCTTTTCCTCTAGCTTAGAATGGGAATGGAGTTAAGGTTTTCCAGTAAAAGTAGAGATATAAAGCAAAATATATCTCTGGGTATGTATTGCAGTGCAAAATGCACTGTTAGTTTGGAGTATAGTCTTGATGTCTGTTTTCATGGTTTACAAGCAGTAGTACTTGCTCTAACATGGGCTTGGGGTTTTTAGCAGGTCAGAGGTGAAGAAAGGGAAAGCTAGCTGAGAGATGCTGAATATTTCATTTGTAACTATAAATATCAAAGTCAAAGCTTTTGTAAACCTTTACATGATAAGATAAAGTTTCTTTTCCACCAGAATTATGTATGTTGCCTGAAGAAGTAATAGGGACTCTTAGTCTGTTACTGTCTAGCTTGAAAAAAATCTACAGCTCTTTTTTCCCCCCTATATTATGCATAGTCAGTCTTTATAGCTTTTCTTGGAAAGTGTCAGTTTCAGGCAGGCAACACTTTGAAGAGCAGCGGCTGAATTTCTAAGAATTAACTTACGGGCTTATCTGAGTGGTTCTCTGCTCTCATGCCTTCCCTTCCTGCCCTCTTCCCTTTTTGTGTGTTTTCTGTTTTGTTTTTTGTTTTTTGTTTTTTTTTCTCCTCCAGCTTCTTGGGCATTTAATGATTGTTGGCAAGAAGTGTGCTGCTAACCTGGGCCTGACCAATGGATTCCGGATGGTTGTGAATGAAGGGCCTGAGGGTGGGCAGTCTGTCTATCACGTACATCTCCATGTTCTGGGTGGTCGTCAGTTGGGCTGGCCTCCTGGCTAAGATCTTTACACCACAAGAGTTAACTGCATGCATACAAATTACCACCAAATAGATTTAATATGTTGCCCATCAATCTAGCCACTGTTGATGTATTTTTTTTGAATGTGTGTCTACAAAGGGTAATAAATGCTCTGAACAACATTCGCACAATAAAGATTTAGCATGTGGGAATCGTCTCTGTCTGGTGTGCCTTACTGATGGAAATAATTCTGCAAATTAAAATAGTGTTCTCTGGAGTTTAAGTGTATCGTGTGTTTCAGTCTGCTGTTAACAATCTTCTGTAGGTAGTGATTTCACAAGGCATTTGAAACCTGAAGGTGCAACTGCTTAGCCCGTCTTTCATGTCTTTTGTGAAGAAAACTTCCAATCTTTTTGAATGTGGTATATAAGTATATATAAAGTGAGTGTAGGCTGCTGCTAAAACTTCTTACCTGAACATGCTGTGCAAGGGCTGTGTCAGTACAGTGCAGTGTGTTGGAAACATACAGCTCCTGTTGGAGCATTCTGTCAATGGCTGCTTTGTAAGGCTCCATCTTTCTCATGAGAAGGGGTAAAACAGTAGTCCTAATGGCAGCTGTGATAGTTCCATAGCACACTGGTATTTACTTTTACATTGTGATTTTGATGGAATTGAGGACTGGAAAATACTGAACAGTGTCTATAGGGCCTTGTAAGGTACTCAAGGAATTTAATCTTGGCACATAAACAGCATGATGTAGTATGGATAAATTTTGGATTCCACATTTTATTTGGCGGTCTTTGTCCCTCAGGAAATAGTAGTTTCTCTGTTGCTGCATACAGTTTTTCATGTAACACTGTCATCGAATCTCCAGTATAATGAATTTTCCTGAAGTTAGGGTTACAGATGTGCCTGCCAGTGAGAAGTCCCAGCTAAGCAGTTTTCATGACAGAAGCTACTTGGAAACCTTTAGGCATATGCCTTAAGAAAAACTGTGGTATTTCTGAGCACCACTTCTCCAGAGTATAATTTTAACACCAAAGGTGTTGAGTAAGAAGTGCAGGAGTGTAGAAGGTGGACATGTAAAGGCTGTGAGTTGCAATTTCTATTCAGAGAAAAACTTGTAAGTTTGGTAAAGGCATTTGAATTCATTCAACTTGGAAATATTCTGGTGGTACTGATGGTTCTGAACTTTCAGAGTTTTTACCCTAAGACATGACTTAAACTGGAAAATCAGCTAGTACTGCTGAAGGTGGCTGGTATGTAGTTGAGTTAGGAATAAAAATGTGGTCCTGTTGTGGTAGCCTGACAGCTCTTCTCCTCAGTGTCCTCATGGAAGTGAAGAAGAAAACCACCCAACGCCCAGAGGAACAGCATCCCTGAGCAGACAGCTGAATGTATATCGCAAGAATGAGGTACCGCTAGCAGGTACAGTGGGGCTACAGTAAAGGTTTCATGGCTGGGAATCTTGCTATTGGAACAAGTTGATGAAAGGCACTTAAGGTTACTGAGATTAACCATCAGCACGTAAACGTGAGAAAGGGCATGTAATGTGTGTACTACTTTCACTTTTCTAATTCTGTTCTATGTGTATGCTTTATACCAGCATTGACATTTGTGAATTAAAGTGTGACTGGAGAAGTTAATTGCATCACTGCTGATCCCTGTATGAGAGTAACCCAGTAAAGATTTTTCAGCTGGCAGATGTACGTGTCTTAG